TGTATAGACATACATAGATTACTAAAAATAGAAACAGATCCACATTAACTGCAATCAACATATGTACGTATGTATGTATTTACATATGTACACACGCTGCGATTAGGTTATAAATAGCGCGCCTCTGTTTATCAAAAGCCGCATTACATACGCATACATACTTTTTGTCTCCTTCCCACACTTCCAACATATGCACGTGTTTGCAAAATGATGACGAGGTGATTTTGTATGGAAAATCATTTATGCCCATATATTTGAATAAAATAAACATATATAGAAGATATCAACCAATACTTCCCATATACCAAACGAAAGGAAAACTCTTGAATTTTTGATTAAAGAAAACAAAAACAAAATCATTCGAGCGGTTTTCGAGCATTTTGGTAATGAAAAAAATTTGCAAATTTTTTCAACAATTTTTTGCCTTAAAATGCTCAATATTTGTTAAATTTATATAAAATTTGTACCCGATAATATTTCTACTGCTCCAAAGAACCTATATCCCGAAAATGAAAGTTATATATGCCAACAATAAGTTGCTAGAGCACTTTAAAGGCTCAAAATTGACCCCAAAATAAGGCAATGTTTACCGTTGTTTTTACGACAGAAACCGAATTGGTTATTTACAAAAATGAATCTGTCGACAGGTTTGGAATTTTATCTTTGAAACGCCACACTTTTCTTTGAAATCGCTTTATTAGTTCTCGTGCAATAAGCGTTTTTGTGAAGCTCTAAAAATTACAACTACAACATTTGAACATAGCCCCCATACCTTAAGGTAAGGCAATTTTTAAGCTGCTATAAAATCCCGTTAAGTTTTGCCAATTTTTTTTTGCTGGCAGTCTTCTCCATATAAAAGAAAATTGTCGCACCTACTTTTGTATGGAAAAAAACGTGAAACACCTTCAACAAAAAAAATAATAATTTTTGTGAGCTGTCTGCAAATGTTTTTTAAAGTTGGCTGTCGCTTCACCTGAACATTTGAAAAGAAATTCCAAAGAATCGGCGAAAAAGGACGATGCCGATGCGGATGCCGATGCTCAATTTTGTGCCGATACTAGCCGATGCCGATGCCGATGCCGATTAATCGGTCGGACTCTAAAATGCAATGACTATAGAAAAAATTGAATTGCAAGAAATACATACATGCATGCATGTGTATGTATATATTTACAGCAACTTTATAGCCTGATCAAATTAATAAGAAACTACCAAAGCTTAATAATTTTGCGCTTTACAGTTACCGTACATTTTTCAATAAGCATTAATGTGCTTCCGGAACATAAAAATATTAATTTGGGTGTGATATTTGGGGTGGGTAAAATTTTATCTATCGACAGGTTTCTCGCTAACGGCTCTAACGATTTTATTGAAATTGTTTTATTTAGAGAATGTTTTGCATTTTATGCTTATCTAGATATGTAGTTGTTATCTCCGAGAATATGCAGATAAGTGTATCATCAATTCAAAATTGTTACAAACTGAAGAAACATGCACAGGGTTGCCACCTATTTTCCATTGTGTATTTATTTAATTCATTGGTGAGAAAACTAAGATGCAAAACTATTATTTATGGGTACTAAAAAACCCTTAACAACGTTTTGCCTATAAAGTGAGTGTTATCCCTTGGGATATTAGTGTAAGGTTGCCACTTGTTTTCGATTCTACACGTTTTAACTAAAGCAACTTAATATGGATATCAAATGAAAGGAATTTTTGATCACTTTAATGGTAGAATATTTTTGATGAGGATTGCATTGTTTCTTTGTAATTCTTTGTATCTTATTAATACAGCGAGAAATTTATATGCATGTACGTATGAGTACTGGACTGTGTCAAACAAAACAACAAGTTTTTTTCTTTCGGTCCCATATGAAAATTTCGTTGTTGGTCACAAAAAAATAGCTGTGGCCTATCTTCATACATATTTTTTATGAAACAAATTTTTTTCCGCTACATAAAAAAAAATTATAGCCCATTGACTTTTAGTACAAAAACTGCAAATTTTAAGGGGCTAGGATTTACCGTTGATTTTTGGCAGTTTTTTGTTAAAGAGTTTCGTTTATTTTTTCCATATAAACAAGTCGTCGGACGCACTTTGTATGGAAGAAAACGACTGACTAACTAAAAAATTGCCAAAAATCAACCGTTAGTCCTTGCTACTTAAAAATTGAACTCGTTATACTAAAATTGAATGGTTTACAAGAGGGTCGTAAATAAAGGTAGCGGTAAAAACAATTTTCATAAAAAATTCATATTTTTACGAGCGCTTACTGAAAAATGGAGATAGAGGGCTGAAATTTTGCCACAATTATTTTTTTGCTACCGACAACGAAATTCTTATATGAAACCCAAAGAAAATAAACATTAGTTTTATTTGACACAGTGTAATGCATACACAGTTCATGTATGCGATCTAAATGAAAATGATTTTTTTTTTTTTGAATTTACAACGGAAACTGACACTTACATAAATTGCTTGTCAAAACGGCTAAGTATTTTTTTTTTAAATACATTTCCAAAATATTTTTTTCATATAATTTCGAGATACTGGGTAGGTAAAAATATTTAAAATATTTTTTTTATTAACATAATTTTTCAAGGTTTTTATACTTGAGCGCACTTGTATACAACGGTATTATAACTTTGCTCGTTGTTTGTAACAGTCTAAATGAATCGAGACAAAAAGAAGAAGTCAACTAAGCCATGTCTGTCCCTTCGTCCGTGCACACCATAACTCGAGTAAACAGTTAGATATCTCAACGAAATTTGGCATCTATTTTACTCTTTATACAGGATAGGTTGATATTGAAAATGACCGAAATCGGGCACATATAACAGAATTTTCGAAAAACACTTAAACTATGATACTTTCCCAAAAACTGGATCCAAATTGTTGATTTTGGTATGTTAAGTAAATTTTTGGCATACAACATATAAAATTTTTGAAAAGTTGGCCCATTAATAATAACCCCCCCCCCCACCAAACTGGGTGCGAATATTAATTAAAGTGAAATTGAAAATTTTTGAAATCGAACAATAACCACGCCCACCTGAGGGCAAGGAGTAAATTTATTAAGGAGAAGGGAAAAATAACTGAATAAATTGAGCCTAAACTGAATAATCGAAAAAGAGAGTGTGGTACGCGCACATCAATGAAAGTTATACCGGCCCACAGGAAGAATTGTAGGTCAGTTTTTTTTACAAATAACTCTTTGTAAGGAACTAAATTGGCCTATTTGCCAATAAAATCTACCTTCCACGCTCTTCAGAGTCTCAGGAGGAAAATTGAAAATTTCGTGGAACACAAAGAGGCGATTACATGGAATAATTTCTTATTTGTTCCGCGCAAAGGGTTAACGTTTCTCCATGCCGCTGAATAGAAAACCTACCGCCGGGAAAAGAGTCAAGGGCTTCGCTATTCAGAGCAAAGCAGATGACATGGTCACCCTAGTCAGAAGCGGGTTTAAAGCAGTGTACGAAAATAAACTATATTGTACGTTACTATTTCGTTTCGTTTATTACTTCAACAGTTCGGCTGAGTTCACTTTGGCGATAGTACACTACAGTAGTTTAGTAGTTACAGACGAAACAGCAAACGAAATGAATCGTGCAGGGAAAATATATGTACACATAAATATATGTACATATATGCAATAACTAAATACAAAATGAATGGCTGCAATGAATAAAAAAAATAAAAATGTTTTTTAATTGAATTGGATTTGAAAATTTACAGAAAAAATTATTTTTCACGTAATTGAAACGTTTGCATACATATAAAACGTACCCTATGGTACAATTGTCACAAACGAAAAGCAAACGTTTCTCGTTGGGGAAAATGACAGTGAATCTTACAATTTGTTTCTGACTATGTACAAAACTGTACAAAACCACAAATGATATGATGATCGATGAGCAAATGGGAATTGTTTTGTACAGTTTATTTTCGTACCCTGGTTTAAAGACACTGTCCCCTAATTCCTAGTGATGAAACTTTAACTTTAAAATAGTATCGATGGTGCTGACTATCGGCAGTACATGATTATCGATACTATCGACGATATTTCATAGCTATGTATGTCTTCTTCTTCTTATTTCGCGCTGTAACCGCCAAGTCCGTCTCCAGCTGATCTTTCCATCGCAGTGGGGGCCACCCTCTTCCTCTGCTACCACCAGCGGGTTCCGAGTTGAATACTTTTAGAGCTGGAGCGTCGGTGTCCATGTCGTTGTACCTATGTATGTACACATGTAAAAAAATCATAGCGTCGTATACGTATTTACAGAAAAAAGTAAATAACACTGGATCACAAATTTTCGTTTGGTTTTTGTTCTCCAGACGCCACTATCCAAATCCTATGTAGAATTGATTCCGATGATTCCGAAAATCAAGTAAATTTTTTTTCTATGGATACGTTTTCGACGTAGGTATTTGCAATTTACCGTTATTCAGCTTAAAAAAAAAGAGTGGTTCCACTTAACCACCTATATCTTACGAACCAATATAACAATCGTAATACGAAGTATTGCAAATGAAAGCCAATTAAATTCTCCATTAGCCGCATATATAAAATAATAAAATAAAAAAATAACGACTGTTTTGCTGCTTTTATTTTTTGTTAAATAATTTCTCGGAGACTTTCATCGTGTGATCACTGCTTAAGAAATTTTTTTTGTAATCAACAGCACTTTTTGTTGACAGCACTTACCAGGTCCAAACTTCGATTCTGAGGATCACAGCATCTACAAGCACATGACCTCCATAAAGAGCATTCAGTCTAAGGGCCTCTGCTTATTGCTTTTAGGAAGTCATGATTTGGTGTTTGTGATTTATTTATTTAGAATAAAATGTTTATTTATAATTTTTTACACAAGTAATACACCTTCAGACACAAAAAGGAAAACATTATATTATAGATACATATATGTATGTACCTACGTATAACTTTGTCTTGCTTGTCAATTGATTGCACTTTTTTCTCTCTAATTTTTTATTGCAGTTGCTGTACTTGGTCAATTCGATGGCAGCTGGCTAACTTTGGCACCCTCAACACCATCTATCACACATTTTGTAAATGATTCCTTCATTATATTCTGTAAAACAGTACAAAAAGATGTGAGTGCGAAGTGGAAAGACCCCAAAGGGGTGGCAAGAGAGAATACAAAGGGGCGCGTGCATATCGAAAAGAAAACAGGTGGGTAAAGCAAAAAGTTGTTTACGAATTCAGAGCAAATATTTCCATTCATTACATTCATTAATTTCTTTCTTAGTTTCATTAGTAGGAAATGCAAACGTACAAAGTGAAGAAAAGTAACTTAGCAACTAAATATAATGCTGCCCTTATAAATTTTTCTGCTACATGCCGCCCATGTGTCTGTGTGCTATTCTATGTACTTGTATGGTAATAAGTTTCTCCATTGATTTTGGTTCTAACAATTGTAATTATTTCACAATACAATTCAAGCGAATAAATGACATGTGTTACAACAATTTTTGGCAGCTTGGCGCCCTTTCATTGTCATGTCAACCTGACTCGCTATTAATTCTACTCCCACTCTCGCGCTGCTGCCATTGTCCACTTTAATTTTTCCCTTCCGTTTAACTATGTCTTGCTGCTGAATTTTTTTCAAATTGATATCCAGGTAATTTCGTTAAGTTCTTATTCAATACCGGCGCTCAAATCGTCTATCCCAACCTGATCAATTCGCATCTTCGTTCTTTCTTTAGAGTACAATTAAATAGCTTGGTCGATATTTTGATGCTATCAGGTTCTGGTTATGCAGAAAAATCGACCCGGCTCTATCAGATTTTGGAGGTACTGATACTAAGTGACAGCGCTCCTATGCTCACTACAAGTGCCTTTGGTCTCATTTTCCTTCATTTGCATCGGTAAAAAGCAAGACCCCGGAGTCCCCGCTCCACAAAGTCAAGCCATGTCTATCCCATTTCCTGTTTTCCCTGCCAGGCTTGCATTCCTCGAGGACATACAGCAGTTAATCTTAGTACTGTTTTCAGTTGTAGCAGTCAGCAACGCTAACATCACAGTCATTTTAGTCCGAGAAAAACATTAAGGATTTTACCTTGAAAAACATACGATCAAGAGACGATCGAATCTCTCAATCGGTTATAGCGCATTCATGACTAAACTCGCTGGATAAGACATGGAAACAGGCGTAAACTTGCAGAAAACAGTTCAGATGAAGTCAGAAGAAGGCCTGTACGTAATTTAGCTTTATCTTTTTGAACTCATCCCAACTGATGGCTATTGAAGCCTGTATAACTTGTACAGATACGGGATATGCTCTCTGAGCATATCAACATCGTAATTTAAAGCCTATTACGAGGTAGGAACCTAACTCGCCGTCGACTTCCTAGCGACATGCCTAAGACTGTTCGGGTATACAATTTCCGGGCTACAGAGCACTTTGATATATAAGAAAACTTCAAAGCTGACGAATCCGAATCTGACTGATGCCAAAGTACACAATATTTCAATAAAAATCTGCAAAATTTATACATAAAGCAAATTCCCAGTAGCAGAACCAAGATGCCTCATATGACCTCTGGTGCCCGAGTTTCGGTTGACTCTCGGTAAATTTCAAATTGGAATGACGAAGCAAGTTACTAATGCAGTCAAATTAACTTTTGGGATTCCCAAAACAATGGTAAAATTTTAACGGTAATTTTAAAAGACCAAGTTTATTACTATAAACTGAATGAATAAGGGCTGTCTCAAGACGGTCCTGGGATCTAGAAGTAATTTTGTGACTTTTTCTATGTTGACTCTAAGACCCTATACCTTAGCCTGCCGACCAAGTTTATCTCCATCCGCGATTTTGCTCAACACAGAAGCAAATAGCCCGGCTACAACAATTACCACATCATTGGCATAGGTAGTACCTGCACTCCCTACTGATTGAATAAGTAATGAGTAATGGGTTGATATCAGTAGCTCCTAAAAGTGGCAAAATCGCTCCACCCGAGCGATGAGTCATATTGCTGCTAACAATCGAACGTGTCTCGTTAGTAAGCAATGCATGGACATTAGCCTGGGTCGCTAAAAAAACTGCTTTATTAAGTGGGAGGCCCCCTTCAGTTGAATACCTTATTTGGTTAAGTTTTTTGTGGTCACACAAATTTCCAGCAGCAAATACCAAGTTTTCTTCATAACAATTTTATTTTATACCCGATTTAAAAATGTGTTATATATATAATAGAAAAGGTATTTTTGACTGCTATGAATCCCTTTAGAGGTATTCCTGTAAAGATGGGCTAGATGGGCTGGATGGAAAACCGCGGCCTGCATAGATGCAAGGTCCTTCTCGCCAGCAGTGGACCATAGGCAATCAAAGGAGTTTCCTGTGCTAACCAAGCGTCAACGCTCTGGCTCTGCACTGATACTTATGTCAGGATATTGTCAAATAGGCATACTCTGTGTCCGACCTCACTTCGTCTTTAGCTACTGGCGCGTTAGCCCTAACTGGCTGAAATGCTTCCTGTAGACAAAGGTTTAATTACCCGAGTATAATTGTATTAAAACTGCCCAGAAATTCTCTGGTGTGGATATCATTTGCTTGTGCACACTGGGCCATGAGACTTGCTTTTGTACCAAAATTCTACACACACTTAAAAGGGTTAAAACTTAAGCGTTACTTTCTTATAAACATTGTTTTTGTTGCCGGTCGTTCCGAATTTGATATCCAAATTTCAAAAAAAAAAAACAAAATGGCGGTTCCTATGTATTTTTATTTTTGCAAATCTAAAAATTAAAGGAAAATTAGACTTAAAAAAAGAAAAAAAAATTTATAAGATGCTAAAAATTAGATTGAATAAAAGAAATATATTTTTAATTTTAAAACAATACAATAAAAATTAAGACAAATGATGTTATTAAAAGAACAACAAATTAAACTGAAGAAACCAAATAAATATGCAATCAAAAAAATTAATTTTTCTTTTTTAAATAATAAAATCTAAAAATTAAAAGAAAATTAATTTGAAAAAAATAAAAAAATATTACTTAAAAGAAGGAAAAAAATAAAGTAGTTTCCAAAAAATTAAATGAAATAAAAAAAATAATCTCCTTAAATAAATAACATCTAAAAATTAAAAGAAAATTAAATTAAGAAAATAAATGTAAGTTACAACTCGACTCGACTTTGTTCACTCGGCTATTGTGACTGTTGCAGCGACTCGAGCTAAATGATATGCAAGTGCTTTCTCTCAAAATAGCTTTTCACCACGAGTGCTGAACGAGAGACCTTTTTTATAAGACTTTTGTACTAAAATTACAAAAAATATTTGGATCTATCTTGCCATCTCTTGCCATTCATTTGTCTTACGAGAGACTTTCTTTGCTGGAATTGCTCTGTAAGTAAGTAGTTTTAATCCGATATGTGTATTTAATATAAATCCGAATCCTAAACGAAATTCATGCGAAAACAGTTTTCAGCACATGCCAGATAATTACATTTTTTTTTTCTCTCGTATGAGCAGCGACCCAGTCTAGTGTACAGTCATACATACATACATAGATATGTTCTATTTACTTGGGTCACCATGCTTGCTTGCTTCAAAACTTTCAAAACCCAAATGATGAGCCATTGATCTTCCCGCAAATTACTATGCCACTGATGTTGACGTGCTGACGGTGCAAGTAACAGAAAAGAAAAGTAGAAAGAAATGCCAACCAACCATGCGACCAACCAACCAACGAACCACACTCTTATACAAATGCAAATTACTCAAATGAAAATAAACGAAAAAGAATTATCCTTTCATAAATCTCGATTACATGTGTCCCTATGAAAGTGGAAGCGAGTATATGAGTCTGTAATTTTTAGCGTGCCTTTGCCTTTTCGTTTGTGTTTGTCGGTATGTGAAGTGGCGCACAATTTCATACTTATTTGTACTATATACAAGTGTGTTGTTGCTGTTGGCAACTTTTCGGATTACAGCAATAAAGTAAAATTTTCGCTTTCAATTCATTTATTCATTTTCGCATACCCCGACCCCCAACGCCGACAGAGTTCAGTTAAGTTTTCACTACTGATTATTTGTCTTCTTCTTATTCTGCCTTTGCTTCTTTTTCGTCTTTTGTTGCTTTTGCACTTTACACTTTGCTCTTCTCTCTCTCTCTCTGCCATTCTCGTTTCATTATGCCTTCCATGCAATCACAGGATTTTTGGCGCTGGTCTTTGAGCACATAGCGTTGACGGACAAAGGCAACTGGACGTGTGAAGCTACTGTGACCAACAACAACAATAACAACAATGAAGCATCATCAGCAGCAGCTGCAGCAACAACGGATGCCGGCGCTGTGGCGGTAGCCAGCGGGGAGGCGAGGAAGTCTTTTGAGCTGCTCGTAAATCGTACGTTAACTTCCGTGCAGGTTTATCTTGCGTAATTTATACAAGTGGCCATGCGCACACATATGTACATACACCCACACACACACCCACTCATATGTTGATTTTTATGTTCACACATACATACAGGACTCCTCAAAATACTTGTACTAATTTAAGCATTGTTGAAAGTGTCACAAACGACTTCCTTGCCAGGGTTATCATTGGAAAATAAACGCTTACACAAGCATACATGCGCACACAAATACACATGAATTTAAATGCCTATACCCATGAATGTATGTACATAACTGCATACCTACATACTTGTATTGTCTACTAACGGGTGATTTTTTTGAGGTTAGGATTTTCATGCATTAGTATTTGACAGATCACGTGGGATTTCAGACATGGTGTCAAAGAGAAAGATGCTCAGTATGCTTTGACATTTCATCATGAATAGACTTACTAACGAGCAACGCTTGCAAATCATTGAATTTTATTACCAAAATCAGTGTTCGGTTCGAAATGTGTTTCGCAAACCCAATTGCTGCGAACGGCGACGAATCGACATTTCACGGTCTTCAGCAACACTCTCAGAAACAGACGCAATATTCTCTTCTGTACGCACTGTACGCATTCGTGTGGTTGGTTTAATGTCCAATAAAGTAAACTGAGTGCGAAACTTGGTCACAATCGCATTAATTGTTTGCTCACTTGGTCGATTATGTAGACCATAAATCGGACGTAAAGCGAACCGAACACTGATTTTGGTAATAAAATTCAATGATTTGCAAGCGTTGCTCGTTAGTAAGTCTATTCATGATGAAATGTCAAAGCATACTGAGCATCTTTCTCTTTGACACCATGTCTGAAATCCCACGTGATCTGTCAAATACTAATGCATGAAAATCCTAACCTCAAAAAAATCACCCGTTATTAAATATTCTATCCTTTTTCTATTGCTTTTTATTTCTTCTAAACATTTGCTTACTCATCGCTTCTTCGTGCTGCCTTTGCCATGTGTGGTCGACTAACTTCGTTTGCATTATATTCACACACACACACACACACACCACGAACCTACTCTACTAAAACCCTTATTATCACTGGTTACTCATACGCCCCATTTATCGCTTCGTAAACGCTGCTTTGTTGTGGTCTCTTTTGATGCCCGCCTTACTCATTGCGGTTGCTGTTTGAATGGACCAAAAAAAAAAAAATCAACACTCAAAAAAAAAAATCTATCTACTATTCATTCGCTACAACAAATACTACCTACCACATCATCCTCGCCAATAACAACAACAACAACTCGGCATTTAAGAGAAAATCTCCTTTGAAAAAACGGAGCTGGTGCAATCGGCGGGTGAGGGGCGTGATGCCACGGTCAAGTGTTTTGTAAAAGGTGATCCCCGTCCGGACGTGTCCTGGCTATATAATGGCGAATACATAAACAGTAAGTAGGCATGCAATGCAATGACAACACGTATTTCAATAAAATAAATTTAAGTATTGTTCACGAAAGTTAATGATAAGTAAAATGGGTGTAGTAGCTAATTGGGGGGATATAAAATGACAGTAAACAGAGCATAAAACTAGCTAAATGAATGAATAAATAAAATGATGGTGTATAAAGTTAGTTGAGCAGGCAACGCAAATTTGAAACCTATTGAACATACATATTGTTAGACGTAAAAATCTTTATGTGTTAAATGTTTTAAATTTATTTAAGAGGTAATCAGGCTGGTTCTGCAATTCACTTGTGAGAGAAATTCATCCAAACTTGTTTTGAATTCAAATTGAATGAGGTTGAAATACACCCAGAAGTGAAATGCAGAACCTGCCAGAGTAATACTTTTAAATTTACATTTAAATTTAAATTTTAGTTACAACAAAAAAATCTTAATTTCCAACACAAACAATTTTTTGATATATTTCCTATATAAATAATTTTTTAACATATCGATAAATACTCTAAAATAATATCGATAAATACAGTCATCGACAAATATATAAATACTCTGACGTTTCTTTAATTGTATTTTCCATACAAAATTTTTTCTTATTCTTATAAGCTTTTTTTATAAAAATATAGTCAGTTCAACAGCAAAAACCAGCAGAACCAATTTTTTCTATTTCATATAGAACTACGGTTTTTTCAATAAATGCCAAAAAACTGTCATCGAAGTTTTCTATTTTTCAATTCCATTTCTTAGAAAAATTTTAGGTATGCAATTTTGCAGCCCATTAAGTTTTCGTAAGGTGCAAGTTTCAAGCCTGTAAAAATTACCGCTGATTTTTTGTCTGTCCAGGGTGTTGCGCATTTTCTTCCATTTAAAAACAGATTTTGTTCGTGCGTTACATGGAAGAAAATGCGAAACACCCTTAACAAAAAGATAATCAAAAATAAAACGGTAATTTTTAGAGACTAGAAACTTGCGCCTTTTTATAATAATTTACTGGGCTACAAAACTGCATACTAAAAATTTTAATAAGAAATCGAATTAAAAAGTTGAAAATTTTGATGAAAATTTGTTGGTATTTCTTGAATTGTCCCGAATTCTATATGAAATTGAATTTGTTTATTCTGCTGGTTTTTGCTGTAGAATGAACTACGTATGCTTTTATAAAAAAATATAAGAAAATTGGAATGGAAAATATAAATAAAAAAATCGTCAAAACGTCAGGGTATTCATATTTTTGGCGCTGACTGTATATCGATGAACAATTTAATAAAAATATTTATGTTGCAAATATATTTCCTATATCGATAACTTCTATATCTATTACCAACAAGTTATCAAAACACAGTTTCCGCAAAAATTTATATTTCATTGCGGATTCTTGGGAGAATACGCAACCAGTAACAATGTTAATTTGAAAAGTTTTTTGTTTAGGCTGACAAACCTCTAGAGATGGGCGTGTCAGTTTTAGCACTAAAGTTTAGAAAATGCAGATTTGATTTTAGATTTCGGCAGAATAACTTTTCACAAACTACGTTTGTTCCTCAACTTTTTTTGTTAGAGAAGAAAGTCTCATTTTGCAGTTGTTGCAAGTGCGCATTCAACCACATTTTTTTTTACAAGGTATAGTATATAATGTTACCCCCTTCATGGTAGCTTTCGCACTGCACTGCAAATGTTACTCATTCGCCATATCGTACATGGGGTTACCCGTACATACTCGTACTTCCATGTTAAAGTTAGATTTTCTTCATTCGCAATGCAAGTATTTTTGGAAAATTACCTGATCTAGAAAAACAGTGTACATATCCGTAATCTGCGACCGAAAATTAAGTTTACGTGTCTTGGCGTTTTTTTTGTCACTTTAGCGTCCCTACATTATAATCGGATTAGGTTTAAAAGTTACGTAATGCATAATCATTTTTAAGGAAATTATTCAGTACCTTATTTATTGAAATCTACATTTAATATTTACATAAAATTAGAAAATTGTATATGAAAATATGGAGATGCCTTTCTCAATTGGTACAGTAACCTAAAAATATTATGAATGGTGTCCGATTCGGCCGGAATGCCCCATTATATATATATATTTTTTTTAAACTTTTAGTCGCTTTTTATGTATAATAGGGCGAATATTTTAAAGGTTTTTTAAATCAAAATACCAATTAAAACCTATGGTTGCGTCAACATTGAATGCTGGTGCCACTGTTGTGCTTCCGAGGCTTCAGGGTATTTACTATATATCAACTTAAAAAAAAAGTAAGTGCGCCTGGAGAAGTGAAACTTCAGTACATACATATCTGTTTTGTTTCATAACCAATATATGTACATATGTACATACATACCTACATCTGCTTTTGCTTAAGGTTATATATTTTGTCCTTTTTTCTATCTATGTAGACCACTACCACTGTTCGTTCTAATTACATTTATCTGTTTTCCTTTATCTTCAATTTTACCTTTATACTCTATCTCTATCGATAACAAAATCGGTAGTAACATCCAATAAAATATCGACAGCAAAACCGATAAAAATATCGATAACAAAATCGATGAAAATTTCGATAAAAATTTCGACAGCAATATCTATAATAATATTGGTAGCAAAATCTATTAGAAACTCGATAAAAATATCCATAAGAAAATCAAAAAAAAACGATAAAAATATCAATAACAAAATCGAGAAAAATACCGAAAACAAAAACGATAAAAATATCGATTATATCGATAAGTTCCGAAAACATCGATAGAAAAAATAATAAAAATTTCGGTAAAATAATCGATAAAATTACCGATAACAAAACCTATAAAAATATCGCTTATTTTATCGATAAGTTCGCGAATCCCGAAATCTCTAAAATCCCAAAATAGTTCCCAGATTGAGTCTCTGTGTTTCTCTCTATATCTTTTCCTCTTACCTTTATTTTAATCCTTCTTTCTCTATCTTCATCTTTACTTTTATCGATATCCTCATCCTCCTCTTTGTCTTTACTTTTATGCTTATCATTTTCTTCATCTTCATCTTCATCTATATATTCATCTTCATCTATATATTTATATAAGTAAAGTGTTTACCTTGGTCTTCATTTTTGGCTTTATCTTTACGCATCTATGTTTTTGGTTTTAAATTTACCTTTGCCTTTATCCTTTTCTTTATCTATGTACGTAGTCACCTTTACTTTCATTCTTGTATTGGTCTTTTTCTAATTAGCAGATTTTTGTTAAATTAACACCATTTGCATAAACACAAGAAGCACTTCCGTTGCACCATTTCCGTTGCATAGTTTCCGTTGAATTTGCCGAATTTACTCCCAATCAACCAACCGCCCCTAAAGAAGTTTCACTATATATGATATGTGTATGTACATTATTTTTAAATTCTAAAGCGCTCTGGGTAATATTACGAAAAATAACAAAGTTCTGTTTATATATTTGAAAATTTCATGCCATTTTGATTTGTCTCACACCACACAGCTGTCAACTCGACAAAATACAAAAAGCTCTCCGATGGACTCTTCATCAAGAATGTACAGCAATCGGATGCTGGTGAATACACGTGCCGTGCAATGCGAATCACACCAACTTTTGCGGATTCCGAACAAATTACGATTCTGTTGAGGATACAACGTAAGTGCATTCAATCGACTCCCAAAGCTTACATACACACCCACACCCATATAAGTATACGTGTATGTATGTATGTGTGCACAAACACATTTAAAGCAAGGCAATACGCCTATAAGCAGACAAACAGATATGTATTTTTAAACTTTCATGCATGCATTTACGAACACGTACGTACACAGGCAATTTAATATTTGTAGAGTTGTATGCAAGTGTGATTTTTTCATGTGTGAATGTATATATGTATGTGTATGTGCCTGCGTGAAAATGAAATTCTGCAATTCAGTGCAAGTGTCAAATCCGTACGTTAAGCGGTCCTAAACTCATCTTCCGCTGCAGGCGATAGTGTGCGTGTGTTTTTGTGTATGTGGGCAATGGCAACTTTAGCGCCGAGGTAGCTGCGTATGCATTTAATTTACAGTTATTTGGCGCACTCTAAAGTTTTGGTTTGGCTGTGGATCTGTTTGTTGCCCCCTTAGTACCCATAAGGGAGTGCAAGCATGTATTTAACTACAATACATACAAATGTGTGTATTTATGCACATCAGTATATGCAAGTATTTGGTTGCATTAAATTTATACCCTCCAGTACAGCTGCAGTCAGCCGCTACTTTTGGAGCGCTACTGCACTGACTCCCAGGTAAGTAGCTACTCTATTAATGCGTGGTAGTGCGCATGGTAATGCAGAGTCGAACCAATCAGAAGCAGAATTGCGAAAGACTACGAAAGGGGCGGAAATCAAGCAAGTAACTACTGTAGAAACCGCGCTGGTAGTGCAGAGAGAGTCGATGGTGACTACCGCCTAGGACATTTCCTTGTAAAAGTAATCGCTGAAATACACGACAAGTAGTCGATCGGTAATCGACGGCGTTTACTTGGTAGCTACCGACTCATCAGTTCTGTAGTCACTACCCTGTACTGCAGGGTATATGTATATGTATGTATGCATATATGAATGTTTAGATATATGTATGTATGTACTTACATATGTATGTGGGCATGTGGGAGAATGCATTTCTGTTTGAATGTACATACATATATGACTGCTGATTCCTGTGAAAGTGTTGACTCCATTCGAAAGTGTTGTTTGAGCACAAACTCACATATGTATAAATATGTATGTATGTGCGTATGTTTGTATGTTTGTACGAACACATTTACCCACAAAAGCTCACATGTATGTATAAGTTTTATATATTCCAACGCCGCCAAAGTGCACTTCATTACCAAACCGAAAGCGATGATACCCACACATTGCACAATTTATTCACACACCAGGGCATACACAAACATATATTTATTGGTATGCGCATTAGACCGTACCACCTTACAAGCAAACAAAGAAAATTTCGCCGTACACCCTTGAGTCGAAAATATTTTTGCAAAGCAATTTCGAAAACAAAAGTTCCCTTTCCCTAAAATTAGGGTTCTCTTTTTACATCTACATACGTTCGGCAAAAACAAAAATATTTTTTTTTAATACACACTACATACCTACATACTTTTTCTAGACATATTCTTTTAGGGCATTCGATTCTATAAAAAATTACCCTGATATTGCAAATTTTTATCTCAAAGGGGTTCAATATTTATAATATTTTTTATATAAAAAAAAATACATTTTCAAATGGAACAAAAATTTTTTCAAATGGGAGAATTTTCTTCTTCGTAAATAGGTCCTTCTAAGGCCATAAATTCTTTAGAATAGTTTATTTGGCTCACCCTAAAGTATAAGCATACCCATTACTTCAAATTTTTGTTTGTGTTGATTCATTTGTTGGCTTCTGTCTGTCTGTTTGCACGTCCTATCAACAATTTGTCGGCTTCATATAGACGTGTGTAGATATATATGTGAGATCGAGTGTTGGCTCTCGCGCAACGTTATTGCCTTAACATTAGATCGCATCGATTCACAAACAAAAAAATAAAATTCATAACAAACCCCTCCTTCAAGCCCTTATTTAGACATTGGGGTCTCACACTGGCCTCAAGTGGCCCATTGAAACAAGTGTGCAAGCCCCAACCGCGCGGAGCCGCCGCTATGAAGAATCCAAGGCCAAAGAATGGTCACGGCTAGGTTAGACGGCCTGATTTGGTCAATTGCATTCCACACAGCCGCATTATTAGAATGCGGATGGAGAAAACGAAGCCTAAGATTACATATGTAAACACCATTTATTTAACTGTGAGCAAAATAGATAAATTTTTATATATTTTGTTTACAGTTATGTGGTACATATTTTTAGGCTTCGTATTCTGCATAAATGTCTGCAGTCTACTAATTATGATTTAAAAAATAACGAATTCTTCTTCAGATTGTCGGCTTGGGCGAAGACCAAATGGCTTCGCTAGTTTCCTCTCACATTTCCGCCAGTTTTACGCCCAGTGAGAAAGTCCCAATGTTGCCAAGTTTACAAAGAAAGGGTTTATAATGAATATGAAACGCACCTTAAGCAGTGTGTGGTATTCGCAAAGATGTAGTTACTTAAGAATTCTTCCACATTCCCCACTCTGCAGCTTCTATAGAAATTAGGAAGTTGGTTCAAGGCTTGGCGTCCATGTAACTGTTACGGTTTGGAGAGCCCTAACCAATTACGTTCATCAAGCAATGGCCAGTCTGATTCTGATGACACAGGACCACAACGGCTAATAGTGGTAGTTAACCATGGCACAAATGATCTATTCGTTTTTGTTGTCGCTGATCATGATCCTGGTATTCATATGACCCCATGATGCCTAGACCAAGGTCCAACCGGTAACATATTTCTTTTTCTTTAGTTTTCTCTTATTATTTCCACCATTATACTTTCTATGTATAACACAATTTTTTAAGTCAGCGATAACTGTTATTTTAAGACTTATATAATAGAAGTCTTTTCATAATAATTATCATTGAGATAAATATTTTTAAGTCTTTATAAAAGTCTTTTGATAGTAATCATGAGTGCGAAAAAATTTTGTATATAGTCTCGAACGGTTCCCAAACCAAGACCCAACTGCCCCAAACTACTCCCCAATTAGCCCCGAACTGTTCCCCACCTAGCCCGAACTGGTCCCCAGCTAATCCTGAAATGCTCCTGCATAAGTCCCGTCTTTTAAGACTTAAAAAGTTTTTTCGCGCTCAGAATTATTATGAAAAGACTTTTATAAAATAAGCCTTAAAATAAAAGTCTTTGAAGACTTAAAAATATCAATCTCAATGATAATTATTATGAAAAAACTTTTATAATATAAGTCTTAAAATAAAAGTCTTAGAAGACTTAAAAATATTTATCTCTCTGATAATTATTATGAAAGAACTTTCATAATATAAGTCCTTGAATAATAATTTTAGATGGCTCGAAAAATATTTATCTTAATATAATGATTATTGATTGACTTTTATTCTTTTCTCTTATAGTAGTTAAGTCTCTGCTTTCAAACCAACACGATTATTACAAACTTTTTCTTCGCGAGCCAGCCTAATGTACACACAATATGTTTTTATGTACATTTGTGCTGTTTGAATGATGATAGTGGCTGGTGAGATTTAAATGCAACTTGCATCCCATTTAACTTTTACAAAAATTGTGGTTCAGAAAGTTATTGCTTTAATAAACGCGGTTGCCATAGTTACAAAAAAAAAACACTGCGAATGAATACAAAATTATGCATCCCCATGCAGCATTCGTCTGCAGCCAACAAACCAGAACTACTTTTGAACTTATTGTTAGTTGTACGAGTGCATAGTTGAAATTGAAAATCGTGATTTACAGGTGGATGCATAGAAATGCATGTGTGTATATGTATATATTTTAATTTTCTAGTCACCCATTACGCGCTAGAGATGCGCTTCCATTGTCGGGAGGCATAACCATTGATTGAAGTGTATTCGTGAGGAGTGAAAATTCAAGTGAAAATAAACTTTTATTCATTTATGTATGTATATTAGGGTGGTCCTTAAATGTAGGAAGAACATTTTTACATCAGCCCGTACGTCGATGCTAATATAGTCGTCACATATAAATTTTGGTTCCATTTGGAGACGGTTAAGGCGTGTCGCACAGGGGTCAAAGTTCAGATTACACTTTGAAGAAGTCTTAACCGACTCCAATTTGGACCAAAATTTATATGTGATATTTTCGACTATGGTAGTATCGATTTTAGGTTTTAAATAGATGAAAAAAATTTGTTTTAATTTTTTGAGTCTCCATAGAACAATCTGAATTTTGCCCCCCTGTGCGACACGCCTTAAATGTCTCCTATCGGGACCAAAATTTATATGTGATATCTGTGACCGTGGTATTACCGATTGAGTGGGTGAGACTGAAAAAAATTGTTTATTTGAGTTTAAGGACCACCCTAAGGTATTTAAAAGAATAGTCAAACCAGAAACCGTAGAAAAAAGAGCTCAGTACTACGGATCACCCTGACATTTTCGTTTGCAATTCTAAACGTTGTACCCATTGACATCGGCATGACTAAGTCCAACTTAGAAGTTTAGTTTGTAGTTTACTAGCTTAGGTTTCTTACCGTAAATTGGAGAATCGTCTAAGTACTTGCTACTGTAAGCCGCTCCCATTTGTTTAATAAAGCAAAGTTTGTTTCTAACTACAATACTCCGGAAATCTAAAAACCTTTAAGCTAGTCCATTGCAGACTAATTTTTCTAAATGGATTAGTGAACTTGTTCACAAATAGTTCCAAATTCATTGGAAAGGTATACGGAAGTGTTAACCTTAAACTTAAACACTCGTATTGCTGAAGTATTTTCAAAGCGCAGATCGGCGCTGACAAGAATCATTAACCTTCAAGAAGGTGGCAATTCGAAATCGTTAAGGAAATTCTTTAATTATCTCTCGATCGCGTCCAATTACTCCGCTACCAAGCTTCTATGGTTTCCACTCTACAGCGATACCGTAGGACAATGGGACAGCAAGACAAAGCACTCCCAAGGAGTGGGTGGCTTCATGGCGAAATATCGTCTGCTCTCCCGTGCTCGTGGGCGTCGCCTTCCCACCACCG